GGAGGGAAGAGGAGAGGGAACATGTGGTTACCCACAATTAGCAGGTTGCATTTTTTTAAATAAAAATAAATATCAGTAATCCCCACTGGCCACCTGCCTAGCTTTTGTATATTTAATTGAAAGGATTTGGGGGGGCACGGGGCTTTTCAGAAGTTGGCAATCCTTTTACAATGCAACTGAGTAAAATGAGAATACATTTAACTATAAAAACTTTTAAAATACCACTTCTTTTTTAAATTACATGCCCTTACCAATTCACTCAAGAAAAAAAAAAGTCAATACTGGACAATGAAATTCCCTCAGGAAATATGAGGAAAAGAAGGAAGGCAGTTCATACTTAAATAAGCTGATCTGGTCCAGTTCCTGAAACCAAGTCACCCAACTATACTGAATACATGCAGTTTGACATTATAGTGATAAAACTGGAATTGTATTCACATCTGAAAATAATAATTTGAATCCACAATGATGTCCGTTTATTAGAAAGACAGAAAAGAAAGTGCATGTATGCTATATAATCAGTCAACTATTAGTTAAAAATACCAAGCGCTACATCCCCTCCTTCAACAAAAAGAAGCTATCTTTTCAAATAAAAATCCATTAAGAGAGAGGGTATCCTTAGTGAAAGAAAAACATTTATCCTAGTTTAATTTATTTTCAAATCAGCATTTAAACTACCACATCTTACATCATTTCCTTTTATGAGCCAGAATTTAGACAATACACATCATTTACATGCAGTTTTGGAAGGCTGCGACATAAATCAACAAAAGAAGCCTTCACTATGAATTAACTATTACAAGATACTTAGAAAGCAAGACCAGCACGAATTAAGGGAATTTAGGACTGTCATCCCTAACTCCGAGATTTCTGGCACTTTTTTTTGTCATGCTTCAAACCTAGCATGGGAATTTTTTTTCCTAGTCAGTTCTGCCAACCTAGAAATGCATGGTTGCCATATGTAAGAAGGACAGAAGTAACAGCACATGTACCGCAGCTGTTTTTATAAAAGGTTAATATCTTTTTTTATTTTTTCTAAAAGAGAAATAATTAAATGTTACTATAGTTTAATCTAAAGTTAGCTTGTAAATTACATATTAAATGTTACTATAGTTTAATCTAAAGTTAGTTTTTAAATTACATCCCAGCAGCCACTTTCATTAAGCAGATCTGAAGTTAATAAACTTCTAAAAGGGTGACCGAATGCCTATCATTTATATACTCAATTTTGCACATTAAAAAAAAACAAAACACAACAGTAATTTACTAAGATTTTCTCTCAAATTACAAGTAAACATTTTTTCTTTTTGGCTAAGTAACCTTTACCCTTCAAATGTGAAGTTGACTATTTTGGTCTGGAAAATTAACTAAAGTAGTACAATATTGCTTGGGATGATTTGCAGTATTTGCAAATGATCCACAGAAAAATTTTAAGACAAGCTGCCAGATAAGTATTGCTGGAATTTGCATTCATTTAAGTGCTCTGATAAAATGTGACTGACTTAAAGACTAGAAGATACTGTATGCAAAGAACTTACTTCAAAAGATAACCCCCCAAAACATGTAAAATTACATCATAACTACATTTTCCATTAGGTTACATGTCATTCAGATAATCTCCAAAAAGCAAATTGTATCACAGTATATCACTGTATTTATTCACATACCACATGCACCTTTTTCTAGAAATAAGCCGTCAATAAAATATGGTAGTTGAACATTGAAACATTTTCTATTGTTTGTTTATTAAAAAAACACCTGACAACTAGGCAATATGACTAGAACACACAGCTAGTCCAGCTCTGCAATCTAAAAGAAGGAAACACACATTTTTGCATAAGTCTGCACATGCCTTTCAGCTCAAGATCAGCTGATAACCTGTTGAAGAGAAACTCCTCTCAGAATTCTAATAAAAATACTTCTCTCATTACAATTTATACTTTAAAAAAAGAAACCTGGAGCTCTTCTACTTCCACAGCAATTCAGAGCAACTTCACTCACTGTATCTCAACATTTTAACTACTTGCTTCCTGGCCCAGAACACTAAAACTTTCTATTTTTCTTCTTCTCAACATTTGAAACTCTGTGACAAAATTGCCAACAATCTCTAGACAAGCCATATACACATCCTCACTTCTTATACTGAAGAAATAAAAATTCTCTGACAGTGGATTGTAGCTAGCTTTGGGACACAAACCAATAAATTAACTAACCTCCCCACAGTGAACATAGTAACTAAATAATTTCCATCTCATTCAATCACACTGAGTCTAGTGGAATCTCATGTTCATTTTTTCCCTTGATTCATCACTGCATAATATGCTTTTCTTGAAATGCAGAGTTCCCCAGAAAAATGGGGAACAATAACCAAGTCTATGATTAAAAAGAAAAAGGTAGAAGCTACTCACTTGACTAGGAGACAGACTATTGAAAAACAGTGTTGCTTATGTCTCATTCCCACAGTGAATTCCACATTGGCAGACTCTTGTAACTGCACAACATCCCAATATTCAAAATCCCAGCCTGGTGAATGGCTCTGCCTACACTGCAAAACTTGGGCTCTCTCTAAATGCTAAATATTGATTCAGAAGCCTATTTTAGACCTTCGCCATTCCCCCCTGCCCCTTGTTTTTGGGGGTTTTTTTATCTTCTATAATTTCTCTCTTTCATGAAAAAGCCATTTTCAAAGAAACTGAGTGGATTTGAGACAGAGAAAAAACTAGTATTGACTACGGTCAACAGGTTGAGGATCTTTTTATGCTCTGAAGAGAAATTCCTCAGCAAGACAAACAACCTTCAGTATAATCACCAATGTATATGAATTAGACAAAGAGATAACGTAATGCACTCTCATGCTCCCTCTGTAGTCTCTGCAGTGGCAGTTAGCCAGCCAACCATATACCTACAGTCCAGATGACATCATCACCAATGCTAAGACAAACCTGGAAGTAAATCAAACTAGCAATATCTGAGAAATCTATAATGACCATTTGTAATGCAATCCTAAATGGCTGAAAATCTATTTCCATTTGACAAACAAATCCAGTTAAAGTTTTCATCCTGCCACAGTACTGAATTCCCTCCTCCCACCCCAAACACAGAATTGAGGACACAGAAAATTAACTACTAATTTAGGGCCCACTGCTATATTCTTTTTACATGCAAAACTCTTACCTTAGCCCTAAGGTGTCTAGGTTATGCAAGGAACTCAGGATCAGACCTTTGTTTCCATAAACCTTGCGTTCTTATCTTGGGAAAGTTTTGTTGCTTATGTCACCTCACACAGACAAAAAATGAACCTGTCCCCTATTGTAAGTTCACACTTGACAAAATATGATGCTGATGTCCAAGGAGTTTCTAACAAAGGTAGCAGCATTTAGATAATTTCTAAACTGTAGTACCAAAAATGAGGTCTTTCCAACACACCACTCTTAACTTAAATGTAATCAAAACTTCTTATCCATTGTTTGATAAATATGTTGGCTAAGTTTGGGGTAGTGTGGAGGGGAGTTTAGTAGTTTTTCTAGGACTCTTCTAGTGCACTTCAACAAAATGAAATTAAGAACTCCTAGTGTCAGGCAGTTAACCCAACAAAGAATATACTAATTAGTTCAAAGTCTTATCAGGTAAACCAACTAACAATATACCAGCTGCAATAATCAACAGGAGAGTTTAAAGTCAGGCATTCACACCCCACTTTTTCTTATAAAGAGGGTCCAGGTGATACAAGCTTTGCAGCAGAAAGATTACAGAAAAATAATTATTAAATGGATTACCCAGAGGGAAATGTCAGAGGTCAGCTTCTAATCAGCCTTTATACCTTACCCAGGCCTGTTGAGCCATATGGTTTTCCAGCCTTTTGCAAGCAGCAGCAGTCAAGATATTCGATTTCTACTTTTAAATGAGATTTGTCCATTATGGAGAGATAGAATGATCCTCTATCATTGACGCTGGAGCTTACTTTCTCAAAGAAAAACTAAATGCTTTTTGTTTGCAGAAGATGCACCAAAATGCTTGCTTATAGTTAGGGAGATGTATAGAATAGCAACTTACAACTGGGGAAAGGTTAAGCTCTGTAGTCTTATTTAAAAAAAAAAAAAAAAAAAAAACAGAACACAGAAAAGAATGCCCTCTTCCAATTTCCATTTTATTGGAATAAATGGGGATCATAGTTAATTAGTCATACTGGTAAGAGCTGCTCATTGCAAAGTCATGCAGTCTCAAAGTGCGTTTGTTCCCTGTACTGAACGTTAAAAAGTAGACCATAGCTTCACACCCACATGGGTTCTCTCCCTTCATTTTTTGTTTTTTTTTCTTTATACACTCGTCTAACAGGTTATTCTAGGAATTCTAATTTTACTGTTTGCAGACAATGACCTTTTCCTGCTCTGCTGGTCCACTGTCACTACTCCCAGTCTCTTCCCCCGCCCCAATCACACACACCCTACAAGCAGCACCACTTAGCCTAGACCTGGCATCTAGAGCCACTTGGGCAGGGTTTTCAACCAGGAAACCAGGTGACAAGTTTCAAACAAGGCCAAACCCCTTTGTTTTAAGACAGCACAAAAGCAAGACCTTCCTTCTCTCAGTTATTTTTTAATGGATTTGCAAGGAGCACATTCCCCTCCTCAGCTGGCCCCCAACAATTGCTTAGCCAGTTGCATTCTTGATCAGAAAGAAGAAGAAAAAAAAACTAAGGAAGATCTTAAACGGTTTGGGGAAAGGGTGGTTAAGACAGTCCTTTCTGTCCCTTTTTCTTAACCCCTGGAGGCTGTCCTTGGGAAAGGGCCACAGTGGGCAGGGAGCTGGCACAGTCGTCCTATAACATTGTCACCTTTTGTATCGCGCTTAACTTTTTGTGGGCAAACCGGGGCAGCCTGGCACGAGCCGGGCAAGCAACAAAGCAGAGAGAGTCCCTGGCATGGGGAAGAGAGGAGAGAAACAAAACGAGACCAGGAAAAAAAAGAAAAGACAAAACAAAGCCGAGAGAAGACACCCACCTTATACACTTGCCCGTAGGTGCCATTGCCAACCACTTCCACCAGCTCAAAAATCCCAGCTGGGTCCTACACAGGGGTGGGGCGAGGGGAATGAAAAGGGGAGAGAAGTCAGGTATCCGTGTGGCAAAGCGGTGGCTGAGGGCAGAGCGCTGGGCAGGCGGGGGCGCTGGGGCCGGGGAGGATGTTGGCCGCGCAGCTGTTGCGCCCTGTCCCCCACCCCGCACATGCCAACACATGCAAACAAAGGAAAAAAGTGTGGAGACTCCCCCCCACCGCCCCGCTGCCTCCCACCCTGCTCGGCACCCACCCGAGCTTGCCCCCCAGCCCAGTGCCTCCTGTAAGGTGGCACCCCCCCCAAAAAAAAACACCCTTGCAAAAAAAGCCTCCCCCCTCCAATGCGCGCGCAACCGCGCCCCGATAGCCGCGCAAAGGTGCGCAAATAGGCGCGCAAGGGGCTCACCCGCAGGGAGGACAGGTCGATGTCCACCAGACTTTTGGCCGGAGAATCGTTCGCCATTTTCCCCCCCACTTCTTTCTTGCTAATTTTGTGCTTTTGTGCCCCGCTTCCTCTCCTCCCCACCAGCCCCGATCCGCGCTGCCCG